TGACTTACTATACTACTACTACTACTACTACTACTACTACTACTACTACCACTACTACTGCTGATGCTGCTACTGCTACTACTACTTAACTACTACTACTACTCCTACTATACTACCACTACCACTTACCACTACCACTACTACTTTACTACTACTCTACGACTACTACGACTACTACGACTACTACCACTACTACCACTACTACCACTACTACCAATACTACCACTACTACTACTACTACTACTACTACTACTACTATTACTACTACTACTACTACTACTACTACTACTACTACTACTACTACTACTACTACTACTACTACGACTACGACTACGACTACGACTACGACTACGACTACTACGACTACTACTACTACTACTACTACTACTACTACTACTACTACTACTACTACTACTACTACTACTACTACTACTACTACTACTACTACTACTACTACTACTACTACTACTACTACTACTACTACTACTACTACTACTACTACTACTACTACTACTACTACTACTACCATTATTTCGCACATGGCCCGAACCTTGTTCCTGCTCACCCAGCAGAGGATGTCTCGGCCATTCTGGTTGACACCGACGTCACTGCGCGATGTTGTTCTGTCCCTCCCCGCAGACACCGAGGATGCGGCAGCGGCATTGGGCAGCGCGCGCATCCCTTTGCCGTTGCTTTCTCCCTCGAAGCGCCCTGGCCCAGCCCAGAATCGTGGATTCCCTGACCCCAGACAAGCATGTGTGGCCATGGCGTCTGAGGCACATGCGCATCCAAGGCTTCGAGGCGGGGGATGATAAAATCTGCCGCACTTGTGCTGGAACGCGTCGGGGGAGGGCCTGGCTGACTGGGCCTTCAATTCCAAACCATCCTGTGGTGTTGGGTCCTCGTTTTGAAGAGACGGTGCCCCGCGTCTCCTTCCTCCTCTCCTCCTCCTCCTCTTCCTCCTCCTCCTCCTCCTTCTCCTCCCTCCGCACCCTCCTTGCCTTTGCTCTCCGCATGTCTCTGTTTCGGCACACCCCTCACACGTTTCGTGGCCCCATAAAAAAAGGGGGTTCCACCTAGGGTCCCACTGGCGCAGCCCGCATGGCAGCGCCGCCCCATTTTGAACACACACACACACCCCTCACACGTTTCGTGGCCCCATAGGGAGCTCCACCTGAGGTCTCTGTGGCACAGCCCGCATGGCGGCGCCGCCCCATCTTGGCACACCCCTCACACGCTTCGTGGACCCATAGGGAGCTCCATCTAAAGTCCCAGTGGCGCAGCCCGCATGGCGGCGCCGCCCCATTTTGAAACACACCCCTCACGCGCTTCGTGGCCCCATAGGGAGCTCCACCTAAGGACCCAGCGGCGCTGCCCGCATGGCGGCGCCGCCCTAGTTTGGCACACCCCTCACACGTTTCGTGGCCCCATAGGGGGCCCCATCTAGGATCCCAGCGGCGCAACGCGCATGGCGGCGACGCCCCATTCTGGCACACCCCTCACACTTGTTGTGGCCCCATAAGGAGCTCCATCTAAGGACCCAGCGGCGCTGCCCGCATGGCGGCGCCGCCCTAATTTGGCACGCCCCTCACACGATTTGTGGCCCCTCACACGATTTGTGGCCCCTCACACGTCTCGTGGACTCTCGCCCTAGGCCGTCGGCTGTCCAGCGCGCTGCCCCCTCGGCCGACGTCGCCCAGGCGTGATCCTGGACTGCGGCCGCCACGAGGTGGGGAGCGGCAGGAAGGAGTACGACGACTGGCGGCTGGAGCTCTACGCGCTGCTCTCGCGCGCCACGCGCCACGAGGACCTCCTGCTCACGCGGGCGCCGCGCATCGAGTTCTTCCCGGCAGGGCCGCCGGAGGGATCGCGAAAGCAGCTGGAGCAGTTTGCTGCGCGCACGGGGCGGCGCAGGAGGGAGGCGGCGGCCCTCGCAAGGGAGCTGGGCTTCATCGAGTTTATCGGCGAGGCTTGACTTGAAAAACGACCCGCCCGAGCCTCGCCGTCTCTCGACGGTCTGACTGTTTGGCTTCGCGCCGCGGGCAACCCGCGCGCGTCGCTGGGGCCCTCTCGGGGCGACCAACGCGCGTCGAGGGAATTCCACGCTGCGCTCTGCCCACAGCCTCGCTCGCCCCCGTCGTCTCTCTGCCCGGCGGCAACAGCCTTGCCCGCTATCAGCCAGCCAGCTCTGTCTGCTCCGCGCAGCGGACGACCCGCGCGCGTCGCCCGCACCCCTTCGGGGCGACCGGCGTGCGTCGCGGGGCCCCGTGTGGCGCCGCGCCCGCAGCCTCGGACATGGGCGCGCACGGGCAAAGAGAGAGAGGGAGAGAGAAAAACAAAACAAACAAAACGGACGGAAGCGGGCGCGATCCTCTGGAGGAGCGCACCGAAACGGGCTGATTCGCACGCAGACTCATTCACAATCAGACTCACTCGCGCTCAGTCTCTCGCATGCAAACCTATCGTCTTCGCTCGCGTCGCGTGCCCCGCCACGCATCTCGGCGCGCCCGTCGCACGGTTCGTGGCCCCATAGGGAGCGCGGGCAGAGATGATATTCATAATTGCGGCATTCACAACTGCGCATGGTTGGGTCCTTCGCCAGGACAACGTTTTGTTTACCCCGCTCTTGGCCACGTGGAAGACCTGGACAACTCCAGACTTTACTTCCAACTCGACGGCCTCCCCGCGCGGCTTCTCCGTCCGCCTGACGAACACAAGGCAAAGGAGGCCACGGAGCTCGCTTTCGTGGATGACATGCTGCCGCTTTGCAGCAGTGGTCAAAAATTGTCTTGGGGAACTGGTCGGGCGCGCGGTCGACGTGTTTGTACGCAGCCATGATGGAGCAAGGGCTGATATTGAATTTGGGTCCAATTACCATTGCCATTTTGGTCAATGTCTGGGGCCCTGGATCGGTCACTGCACGAAAGGACCTCTTCCGTTGCCCGCCCAGCCCCTGGTCAGTGAGGTGGCGTGCCGGAGGCAACAGTTTCATGTTGCCCTCGGCCCCTTGGCCCGCACAATATTTCATCGGGTTCAGCTGCCGCTGCCCACGAAGCTTATGAGATTGCACTCGTTGGGAACATGCCGATTGCTTTTCAACGTGGCGGCATGGCACCGGCTGCACGCGCATACTCTCGGACACTTCAGGGCGCGCACCTCAAGGACCTTCGGGCGGTAGCCCGACTACGAACAAGGCCTGATGAGCCCCAACGACATTCTGAGGCACACTTGAGAGAATCCGTGTAGATTCGCCTTCGCAGAATCAGACTCCGCTACCTGCCAAAATTGCTACTCAAGGCTCCCCTCAATTAATGTTGCTTCTGGACTTACCTGCCCGTCATACGGACTCTTGGGCTTTGTTTGTCTTGGAAGATTTCAAATCTGAGCCCGATCTTTCTTGGGGGAGGCAACGCAAGCACCTAATAAGGGAGCGCAGCGGTTGAATCCAGATCGCTCGAGAACCACCTCTAATCTAGAAAGGCCTGCTCAATGCGGCCTTTCTGCCCATGAGCGGAGGTGGGCGGACTAGTGTCGCCTCAGTGAATGGCAAGCCTGCCTGCGGGCACTGTGCCAAGCGGCCAATTCCCCGTCGCCTCGCAACTGCTTCGCTCCGGACCCGTCGTTTGCTTGACCGTGCTACGAATGCGACCACGTCGCCCACACGCCGGGGGCATGGAGGTCTCAGTGGACGGAAGCCCACCCGTTCACAAGTCTCGCCAGTTTTATAGATGGGCCAGGACGTGTCTGCCACATGCCTTCGCTATTTCCACCACCATCCTCGCCTCCTGAAGCATCTCCGGCAGGGTGCGGAAGCATGTCTCCAAGGTCTGATCCAATGGGGGCGGTTCCCACCGCCTAAAGAAAGTGAGGCCCTTCAGCAACAGGACCACAAGGAGGCCGCTACCCCCAGCGCCATTGGGCTTCTCCCCACATCCGCCGATACCCCCCCGCTTGAAGTTTACGGCCCTGCTCTGCCCCCGCCGCTCCCTTGCCAGCTCTGGGTCCCCACGCACATCCCAGCCCCCAACCCTGGCCGTGGCGTACAACGTAGAGCACATCCCCTTCCACATCCACCCGCCCCGCTCGGAAATCCCCAGAGTGCGTCGTACGGTCCTTTACGGCCTGCACGTGTTTGGCGGCCCGCGCCGCCTGGGGGATGTCCCATCCCATTCTGAAGGCCTGGATTCGGCCGCAAGACGTTCTCTGATCATGCTCAGCCTGCCAGTGGCTAGCGATGAAGTCCAAGAGTGTAAAGCATATCACGTGCGATATGATTG